TATATATAACATGTTAATAATTAGGGTTTGTATGGCAAGATAAAACCAATCAAATAGAAAACCCTAATTCAAGACAAAATCAAGCATGAAAATGACACACTTGCACACAAACACCCCTAGGGTTACTCCACTTGGTTGCCTTGAACAAAATGGTCATATTACGCATGTAAGGTATCTTAGCAAAACAAACAAAAAAAACAAGATCATAGTCCCTCGATGACACTATTCAAAGTTGCCTTACAAAAATGATCTTAGTCCCTCAAAATGCTAAGATATTTTGCAACATTTCTAATCATGGTTATACGATGACCCGCGACCGTCCCGTTTACATCAAAAGATAGGGTTGCTTCCAAATCAATGGTAAGACAACAATATCAAAGGAAAAGAAAATGAACAAGAAAGACATTTGAGTAGGTAGATTACTTTTAGTTACTTTCTCCATTTCAAACAAATATCCTTGCTATTTTCAAAACAAACACAAAACATCTTACAAATTTGAAAACATTTTCAAAAAGACAAACATCTTTGTATACATTCTTACGAACGAGAATCATTACAAAGATTACCTAAACAATGGCCTCTTTTACAAAATACTTTCAAAACCACACAAAGTACAATTTCAAACAAAAGCAAGTGATCTAGCAAGTAACTAAGAGCCCATGGAAAATCATGGATGAAAAGGGTGCTAATACCTTCCCTTTTCATAATCTACCCCCTGAAATCTAGAAACAATCTCAAAGATCTTTCCTGTGCTTTTTTACCTTTCCTTTTGGATAAAAGAAAAGTCGGTGGCGACTCTTGTTAACCGCAACATTTGCGATAAAATGCAAAACCTTCAAATCAGTTCTCCCACTGTATCACAGTATTCTTGGTTGTGCTCAAATCTCCATCAAGTTTTGTAAAGCAATAAGAAAAGCACCAAACACAAAAGTCATAGCCATTGGAAGCCGTTCACTCGAGAAAGCAACGAGTTTTGCGTCCGAGGAAGGGCTTTCGGAGGCTGTTAGGGTTTATGGAAGCTACGGGGCTGTGTTGGAAAACGACGAGGTGGACGCGGTTTATATACCTCTCCCGACTACCTTGCACGTCACATGGGCGGTGAAGGCTGCTGAGAAGGGGAAGCATGTGTTGTTGGAGAAACCGGTTGCAATGAATGTGGCGAAGCTTGATCAGATTCTTGAAGCTTGTGAGGTAAATGGAATGCAGTTTATGGATGGTAGCATGTGGTTGCATCATCCTCAAACTGCAAAAGTGAAGGAGGCTTTGTCTGATGAGCAGCGTTTTGGTCAACTCAAATGGATATGTTTCGATAAATTTTATATATATGTTAATTTCATGAATATAAATTGTTATTGAATTGATCTAGCTAGATGCATTCACGTAGAAAAAACACACACACACACACACACACACACACACACACACACACACACACACACACACACACACACACACACACACACACACACACACACACACACACACACACACACACACACACACACACACACACACACACACACACACACACACACACACACACACACACACACACACACACACACACACACACACACACACACACACACACACACACACACACACACACACACACACACACACACACACACACACACACACACACACACACACACACACACACACACACACACACACACACACACACACACACACACACACACACACACACACACACACACACACACACACACACACACACACACACACACACACACACACACACACACACACACACACACACACACACACACACACACACACACACACACACACACACACACACACACACACACACACACACACACACACACACACACACACACACACACACACACACACACACACACACACACACACACACACACACACACACACACACACACACACACACACACACACACACACACACACACACACACACACACACACACACACACACACACACACACACACACACACACACACACACACACACACACACACACACACACACACACACACACACACACACACACACACACACACACACACACACACACACACACACACACACACACACACACACACACACACACACACACACACACACACACACACACACACACACACACACACACACACACACACACACACACACACACACACACACACACACACACACACACACACACACACACACACACACACACACACACACACACACACACACACACACACACACACACACACACACACACACACAAATTATATTCTTTTAAGGGTTGAATGAATATGCACATCCAATAGAAATCTAATTTTTTTCCATCTCATTAAAAAAAATTAAAATAAAAATATGATTTGATAGTCATTAATTAATAGTATATAACTAATTTATATTATAAGTCAGTCACTCATTTTCTTTTTCTTTTTTTATAAATTTTATTTTAAAAATGTGTTTATTTTAATAAAAAGGTTTTATAATAGACTATAATTATGTTATAATCACAATTAACTATTAAACTTAATCAAATAAATCTCTATGTTTAGAATTGTGTAATATTTCCACAAGGTTTTTAAGAAAAAAAATTAAAATATATATACGGGATGTCAAAAGATGGGGATGTATCTTCATCTGAATCTTTACTTTCGAATCTATTCTTCATTTCTGTCTCATATTTTCGTTAAAAGAGGACTCTGTCTCTCATCCAGTTTTTCTAAATTCAAATATTTTTTACAGAGATTTATGAAAATAAAAATTATTATTTTTAACTAAATTAAAAATAAAAAATTCAAAAACTAACCATAAAAATTTAAAAAAAATCATATATAGTAAAATTATTATTTTGACAATATTTAATATATATTTTCATGAAAGACACTACCATCACATTTTCAAACTTAAAAAAAATTAAAATTATTATTTAAATCTTTATCTTTTATTAAAATTGCATATAAAGTTTAAGTTTTTTTTATGAAATAAATTATATAAAATGAAATATAAATTTAAAAATAAATTTAATATTATATATTAATTAAGAATATTATGATATTTTAGATTATGAGAGAAAATTATGTAGGACAGAGTTATATTTACTATCTCCGTCTCATAGCCACATTCGAAGAAACTCTCTTCTCCATCTCTATTTTCACATAAAAAAATTTATTTTAGAGACTCAAGACAATCTCCAGAGAAATCTACACTAAACCATTGTGATTCGACATTCCTAACCTACATAAGTTTTGAAATTTTTTAAAAAACAAATAAATTAATTTGTAACGTATTTTAAAAAGTTTGAGTACACAAAATATATAATGCAAACACAAATGAAAAACCAAAACAAATAGAAAATAGGAATATTACTTAACAACAATATTGAACTTAATTACCCAAACAAATCCAGCTCATACACAACTAATAACTTAACAGCCAATTGACAGCTATAATAGCTAAAAACAATTAAATTGGTATCTTAGTTTTCTTTTATTAACAAAAATAATAAATATGAAATATCTTATAATGTACGTAATTGTTAGCTGAATTTGTGTACACATGCATGCAAGGAATCATATGAGTGTGTAGAGAAGAATAATTAAATTGAAAACCATGAAGTTGATTTTTATTTAAAAAAATTGTACAAAGACCAAAATTGGTTTAAAGCTCCATTTCTCTCCTTTTAAGGAAAAATAAAATGGACTACTTATTACTAAAATAAACTTTTGTATGTAGTAGAGGAGAAAATATTATGTTTCATTTTATTTTATTCTATAATTTATTTTTCTTTTAAGAAAACTAAATTCCACAATTTTTTAGCATTACAAGGAAATAAATTTAAATAATCATATGATATTTGCTCTATCTCAAAATAAATTAGTTAATTGATTAATTCAAACAAATTAAATTAGTACATTAATATCAATAAGATTTACTTTCAATGTTTGTTGTTTAGTTTATTTCTCTAAAAAAATTTAAAATTTGTAAAATACTAAAATAAAACATCAAAGTTTAATGATAAAAAGTGGATTATTTACTACAAGCATAAGTAAAATTTTATAAATATTAAAAACTAAAATTGGTACATTTTCAAAAACTAAAAACTAAAATTGATATAATTGTAGGAACTAAGGAGATATTTAAATTAAATATATATTTTTATTCAGTTTTTCTATGTAATATTTAAAATAATAAATTAAATTAAATATTTATTTCAAAATGATGAAGAAATAAAAAAGATATAAATAATCAAATTACTGATGAGGTATTAGAATGTTAAAAATGATAATATTAAAGTGTTGAAGTAATACCGAATAGAACATTGGGCGAGAAACAAATATGAGTATATAGAAAAAGTGTAGATTTTTATTATTAAGTATTATGGATCAGATGTAGATTTTATTGTTAATTAAGTATTATAGATCAGATTAATATTTTATTGTTAACTAAAAATACGTTGAAAAAAATCTAAAAGAATTTATAAGAAAATTTATTTAAAAAATATTGAAATTAATAAATTAAGTAAAATTTTGATATTGGATAAAATATTATGATAAAATATTATCTATAGCCTCTTCTACTTAATAAGATAATAATATATATTTCTAGTGGTTACAAAAAAAAAATTGTAACTAGTGCCTTAACTATTTAATTTTGTATTATTTACTTTGTCTGGCTCATAATAGCAGACAATTTAGACACAAGATAATTAAATAAGTTTAATCATGTGATGATTCCCTTTCTCCTGAAGACATGCAAAAGAAATGTGTTATGTCATAACGTAGTTCAAATTACTATATATATTATATCTTGGGATCCACACAACTATAGTTATATAATAATAAACTTAATTATTTTTTAAAGACTATTTATACAACTAATTAATCTTCTTTAGGTCATCATAATACAAATCCTTCTGAACTAGTATTTCACATAACTCTAAGAACTCAAAAAAAGAAAAAAATATTCACAAATTTTCCATTCAAAGATGGCTGAGGAAACGGAAGTGTGTTTTGGTATTCTTGGCTGTGCTCAAATCTCCATCAAGTTTTGTAAAGCAATAAGAAAAGCACCAAACGCAAAAGTCATAGCCATTGGAAGCCGTTCACTCGAGAAAGCAACGAGTTTTGCGTCCGAGCAAGGGCTTCCGGAGGCTGTTAGTGTTTATGGAAGCTATGAGGCTGTGTTGGAAAACGACGAGGTGGACGCGGTTTATATACCTCTCCCAACTGCCTTGCACGTCACATGGGCGGTGAAGGCTGCTGAAAAGGGGAAACATGTGTTGTTGGAGAAGCCGGTTGCAATGAATGTGGCGGAGCTTGATCAAATTCTCGAAGCTTGTGAGGTAAACGGAGTGCAGTTTATGGATGGTAGTATGTGGTTGCATCATCCTCGAACTGTAAAAGTGAAGGAGGCTTTGTCTGATGAGCAGCGTTTTGGTCAACTCAAATGGGTATGTTTTGATAAATTTTATATATATGTTGGTTTTATGAATATAAATTGTTATGGAATTGATCTAGCTAGATGCATTCACGTAGAAAACACACAAACATATATATATATATATATATATATATATATATATATATATATATATATATATATATATATATATATATATATATATATATATATATATAGTTAGACAAAAAAGTTATATTCTTTTAAGGGTTGAATGAATATGCACATCCAATAGAAATCTAATTGTTTTTCATCTCATTAAAAAAATAAAAATAATAAAAATATGATTTAATAAGATACATAATTGTCATTAATTAATAGTATACAATTAATTTATATTATAAGTCTATCACTCCTTTTCTCATTTTTTTAATTATTTTAAAATGTGTTTATTTTAATAAAAAGTTTTCATAATAGATTATAATTATGTTATAATTACAATTAATTATTAAAGTTAATCGAATAAATCTTTATGTTTAAGATTGTGTAATATTTCCACAAGTTTTTTAAGAGAAAAATTTAGATATATATAAGGGATGTCAAAAAGTGGAGATATATCTTCATCTCTATCCTCACTCTTGAATCTATTCCTCATTTCTATCTCATATTTTTGTTATAAGAGAATTCTATTTCCCATCCAGTTCCTCTAAATTTAGACATTTCTTGTAGAGATTTATGAAAATAAAAATTACTATTTTTAACTAAATTAAAAATTAAAAAATTAAAAACTAACCATAAAAAATCATATATAATAAAATTATTATTTTAACAATATTTAATATTATTAATATATATATTCATGAAAGACACTACCATCACATTTTCAAACTTAAAAAAAATTAAAATTATTATTTAAATCTTTATCTTTTACTAAAATTGCATATAAATTATAAGTTATTTTTTATGAAATAAATTATATAAAATAAAATATAAATCTAAACATAAATTTTATATTTTAGATTATTTGAGAAAGTTATGTAGAACTGAGATATATAACCACATTTGAAGAAATTCTCTTCTCCATTTCTATTTTCACATAAAAAGTTTTATTTTAGAGATTCAAGACAATATCCAAAGAAATCTACACTAACCATTGCGATTCGACATTCCTAACCTACTTTTGGAAATTTAAAAAAAATAAATAAATTAATTTAAAACGTATTTTAAAAAATTTGAGTACACAAAATATATAATGCAAACACAAACAGAAAACCAAAACAAATAGAGAATAGGAATATTACTTAACAACAATATAAAACTTAATTACCCAAACAAATCCAGCTCATACACAACTAATAACTTAACAGCCAATTGACAGCTATAATAGCTAAAAACCATTAAATTGGTATCTTAGTTTTCTTTTATTAACAAAAAATCGAGATCTTGCTTAATAAATATGAAATATCTTATAATGTAATTGTTAGCTGAATTTGTGTACACATGCATGCAAGGAATCATATGAGTGTGTAGAGAAGAATAATTAAATTGAAAACCATCAAGTTGATTTTTATTTAAAAAAATTGTACAAAGACCAAAATTGGTTTAAAGCTCCATTTCTCTCCTTTTAAGGAAAAATAAAATGGACTACTTATTACTAAAATAAACTTTTGTAGGTAGTAGAGGACGCCAAATGAGATGGCTCCTCCTTTGTGGAGCCATCTCAAACATGGTTATTTGCGTAATTTTTTCTGAAACTCGGTTATTCGCGAAATATTTTTTTAATACTTGGTTATTAATAAAAAAAATTCAAAATATTATGTTTCATTTTATTTTATTCTATAATTTGTTTTTCTTTTAAGAAAACTAAATTCCACAATTTTTTAGCATTACAAGAAAATAAATTTAAATATTTATATGATATTTGCTTTATCTCAAAATAAATTAGTTAATTGATTAATTCAAACAAATTAAATTAGTACATTAATATCAATAATATTTACTTTCAATGTTTGTTGTTTAGTTTATTTCTCTAAAAAATTTAAAATTTGTAAAATACTAAATTCAAACATCAAAATTTAATGATAAAAAGTGGATTATTTACTACAAGCATAAGTAAAATTTTATAAATATTAAAAACTAAAATTGGTACATTTTCAAAAACTAAAAACTAAAATTGATATAATTGTAGAGACTAAGGAGATATATAAATTAAATATATATATTTATTCAGTTTTTCTATGTAATATTTAAAATAATAAATAAAATAAAATATTTATTTCAAAATGATGAAGAAATAAAGGAGATATAAATTATCAAATTACTGATGAGGTATTAGAATGTTAAAAATGGTAATATTAAAGTGTTGAAGTAATACTGAATAGAACATATGGTGAGAAACAAATCTGAGTATATAGAAAAAGTATAGATTTTTATTATTAAGTATTATAGATCAGATGTAGATTTTATTGTTAATTAAGTATTATAGATCAGATGAATATTTTATTGTTAACTAAAAATATGCTGAAAAAAATCTAAAAAAATTTATAAGAAAATTTATTTAAAAAATATCGAAATTAATAAATTAAGTAAAATTTTGGTATTGGATAAAATATTATGACAAAATTTTATCTATAGCCTATTCAACTTAATAAGATAATAATGCATATTTCTAGTGGTTAAAAAAAAATTGTAATTAGTGCCTTAACTATTTAAATTTGTATTATTTACTTTGTCTGGCTCATAATAGACCAATGGATAAAATAAATTCTAGTGATAAGGCCTCTTTTGATGTGAAAAGTTTGCTAATACTTTACTAGACATGATAGTATTAATCTTAAGCAAATCGGTGAGAAGGGTACGTTCATGCGAAGTTTAAACCCGACAAACATTTTTAATATATTGAATTTAATTAATAAGATATAATTGATGTAGATTTTTGTTGATAACTAAAGCCAAATACTACAAGAATATGTCGTGAGAAAAGGTGTAGTGGGTCATTTTCTATGGGTTTTATTAAAAATTATCAACATGTTCAACATGTTCTCACGTGTGTCTAGCTAGCATTATATTTTACGTTTTAAATAATTAGTACTTAAAATCCGAATTCTAAATTAAATATAGTTTTGCTTTCTTATTGACATATGGGTCAAGAATTTTCTCTAGAATTTTGTTAAGAAAACAAGAGGTAATTGAATCCATAAAAACATATTTAGAAGAAAAACAAAACACCCCTTTTTATTATATATATTATACTTTTTTAAGGTTATTTTGACAAGACTTGAAGTTTAGAAAACTATGCTTAATTTGTAGAGTAAATATTGGGACCACAGCTTGAAGAACCTCCGATTCATATTCAACAGGACAAGTAAGATGAAAGATCTATCATTGCAATAAGAGGTTTTGGATTCAAGTAGATATTAATAATTAATTACTAATAATTATCATAAAAATAAACTGTGTTGTGAAACTTCAAACTTCAATTAAATGATTCAAACACATGAAAATGATATGTGTGACACAGATTAATGACTGCCCAAGGTAATAAAAAATGAACAACAAATAAAAATAAAAGAAGGGAATGAATACAAACAAAATTATTTACCCACCTCGATAAAAAAAATATGTAAAATAATATACTCTTTTGTGAAGTATAACAAGTATTATTTTCAGAAATAAGTCAAAGGTAGTTTTCTGTTATTAGAAAGTTAATTAGAGATTAGTTACAAGTAATTGAGATGGTAAGAGTTTCTTTGAGTCGAACCAACTTCAACTAACTTTATATATAATTCTTCCTCTCATTGTAAGAGATTGAGCTTTTGAATCAACAATCAATGCAAATGAATTAGAGATTCAACTCATCTAAACAACCTAATAATTTTAACAAGGTATCAATCGCCTTTTGATCTTATCTTCCACTCATCTTCTTCTTTTTCTCCCTATGATCATGCATCTTGAAGCTCGTCAATGGAAAAGTTAATGATTTATCATCTTTTCTAAGAATCATACTGCTTCAAGTGAAGTAGCTTTAGCGTTTGGAAGCTCCTATTCAAATTCATTGGTTGGACCTAAACTCTCCATCAACAGAAAAATAAAAACTATATATTGTGGAATCAACAGGTAGAAGGTGTGATTCTCTCACACAAGCTCGATAGTTATATGGTGAATCCCAAAATCCCTCCTATGTACAAATCAAACGTAGATCGTCTTCAAAACATGACTTTTGCATAATATGAAATTTGGATATTGCAAGACGAAGCTCTGCTCACGTGATTTCTTTCAACGATCTCTACAATGGTGCTCTCACATTTTCTTTCTTGTAAATGATCCTATGATGTGTGTGACAAGTTTCACAAGCACCTCACAACTATTCTGAAAGCACACGCAAGACAATTGTGCATTGAGCTCAAAAAAACCAAGAAACTTAATCGTTAAGCATCATAAAGAAAATGTAAATTCCTTGTTTTCCTTAGGTGACTACATATAAGAACAAGATTAGATTAATGTTATCCTAGACACATTATCTAAATAGTACAATTCGTTTGTGAGGCAAGTGTACGGTCGTCTTGAACCTCCTACAATCTATGATGTTGAAGATTTACTTTATGTTCAGAAAGTCCAACTTGATAAGTTTAAGTAAAAACTTTCGGTTTCAAATGTCTCGGCAAACCTAGCTCACCATGAACCTGCTCCTGGTCATGGAGGTTAGAATATAGGTGAATGTGGAAGACATAGCAGGCTTAAAGATCATGGACCCTCTAGAGGAGGAAGCACGAGAAATAGGCCATCGTGTCAACTATGTGGCAAGTATAGACATGTTGTGCTTGAGTGTTTGCACAAGTATGATGAGTATTTTGTTCCTACAACAAGAACTCAAGGTGTTTGTGAAAATCCACATGTGAATGATAGTCAAACTCAGAGTGAGGTTATTGTTGTACCAGTTAGTGTTGGACATATAACTCCATACATAAGAGGAAGGTGAATTGTGGAGGTTTAAAAATCGATGATTTAAAAACAAAATCATTTAAAAACCAGTGTATAAAACCACTTTATAAA